TTCAGTGATGGGAACACCATTGAATGTCAAGGGATGGTGGTGAGATTGTCTCTTATTGGTGATGGTCGTAGTCTGGCACTTGTGTGGCGTGAATGTCACTTGCCATTTGTCAGCCCAAGTCTGGATAATGTCCAGATCTTGTTGCGTTTGCACTCGGACTGTTCAGTCACGAATGGTGTTGAACATTGTGCACCCATCAGCGAACATCCCACTTCTGACCTTATGATGGAGGGAAGGTCATTGCTGAAGCAGCTGAAGATGGTTGAGCTTAGGACACTACCCTGAGGAACTCCTGCAGAGATGTCCTGGCGCTGAGATGATGCTATGGCTCTATGGTGAATGGTGGAATGAGATAGGAGTCAATGATTTATGTGTACCTATTCGTCTCACTGACTGTCAAACAATAAAGACACTGCCTCTGTTGTAACTCTTTTGTAACCTTTCAAGACTTTAGATGGACGATTGCATTAAGTACGGTTTTATTTCCAATGGCTACAAAAATGCAATCAGTACCCACAGGATAAAGGAGCCTCAGCTCTATCCATGATTCCAATGAGGGCTTAAGTATGTTGTTAGATGCCAAGCTCAATGGGGAGCCCAAAATCAAGTCACATGCCATTCCTTCTCTGGAGAGTTTATAGACTCCTCAGTCTCACACCTCTCATCCCACGTCCTGTGTCACAGATGCTCCCCGTCATGTCTGCTTCAATAACTAACAGCCAGCAAGCGTTCCTCCTCATCTTAAAGACGTTAACAAACTCAATGTGACCAGCCAGGGCTTGGTGCAGGAACCGCAAGGAAGAACGAACCTCTGCTAATCTTCAAGAGGAGCTAGTTAAACGCTGACTTGAGGAGTACCAGCTGGAGCAGCCCCTGTGAAAGGTGGTTTGTTCTTTCAGAAGGTGCGGGGCGCCTGCTGAGTGCCCCTGATAGCGCCCTGGCGGTCAGTGGCATCACTGACCTACCAGAGTGGGGCTCAGCAGTGAGGCATCCAACGTGGTAGCAGCTGGGGCCCAGGGTGAGCCAGGTGGCAGCAGAGGATGGTGGCAGTGGCCAAGCCTGGCGTGCCCTCTGCGGGTCAGCAGCGGTGACGTTGGCTGGCGAACACGGGTGGGTCCTAGCCCAGCGCGGTGGGGAGAACGAGCCGTGTTGGGGAAAGCCCCTGCTCGCAGCGCCTACGGGCGTAAGGAAGGGCCGTGAACGTTTTACTTTTCAAAACTTTACTTTTCCACTTTTATGCTCAGATTCCGTGCTGAGGCAGCTTGCCCCCGAGATGGCATCGCGCGGGGCAGCACTGCCCATTTTTCACCGTGCGCGCGCGCGCCCTGCTACACGTGACAATAAAACCCAAATCCATATCCCTCGGCAGTGCCCAGCCATCAGTCTCACCTACTGATTCAGTCGTGTCAGTGGTGGGGTCGCCATATCTACCCTCTCCCCCCAACCCCACCACCCTCCCCCGTACCCGCCTGACCTTCGGCCTACCTGGGCACAGCCCTCTGGTTTGAAGTTCTCCCCCAGGCCGCGAATGGCAAACTTGGTGGCGTTCCACAGCTTGTTGCAGAAGTGGCGGTAACCGAGGATACGGTTAACATCTAGGTTGATGTCCCGGCCTGGGGGGAGGGGTGGGGTGGGGGAGAGAGAGGGGAATGTTTTTAAAACCAGCCGCCAAATCACGGGTTTAAACCTCAGCACTACAAATCGGCCGTGGGAGGCGGCTTGGGAAGAAAAACAAATGCATGGCCGCGTGGCGCCAAACCGTCGCGAGGTGTTCGCCAGGAATGGCGATGAAAAACCAATTTGTTCCCACTGAGCCAGAGAGATACTTTTTATTTGTGTTATTCATTTCTGGGATGTTGGCATCTTTGACTGGGCCCAGCATTTACTGCCCTATCCCTAGTTGCCCCCCTTGAGAAGTTGGGGGTGAGCTGCCTCCATGAACCGCTGCAGTCCATGTGCTGTAGGTTGACCCACAATGTCCCTTAGGGAGGGAATTCCAGGGATTCTGAC